GACTTACTTGAGATTTGAGCTGACACTTGTTTTGACAAGACTTGACATTCCACTTGGACTTGTATTAAATGTCTAAAAAGAGAGAATAGTAGCTCTGGTATTAATCACCTCAGTGCCTGTTGTCAGCGTCGGTTCAAAGCAGCTTTTCTAATATAGAAGTGAGTCTGTTCACTCTGCTGTGTCTGCATTATCAATGCAGCATGTTGGTGGTGTTTCTCATTATCTACTGTGCTCTTCTTTCAGTTGCAGCTCTGGATCCATCCGGTCTGTAGTGGCTTGTTACCAAGGTGTCCATTAACCAGCACCAGGCCTGACTGGAAACACTACGAGATCCAGCGCCGCCCTGACGCAGTCAGGAGTCCGCGAGTCAATCAGCTGCAGAGCTATTTATTATCTGCAGATGAGTGGAAGTGTTTACTGCAGCGCATGCTTCAGTTACACATAACTGCGGAGTGCCAGTCCCCCCTTTTGCCCCAATTGGGCCCCCCAGCCCTGATGAGACATTTCCATGAGGTCAAAGAAACAAGTGAGGTTCTTTAAATGACTGGGGAGTTGCCGAGCCACGTCCCCATGATGAAAGGGGCAGCTAGGATTTCACAAGTGCAGTCACTCCCTCAGATACTCTGCTGGAGAAAAAGCTCCGATCCCAATGGGTGAGAAGGGAACTTTGCTTTGGATGTAGGGCATGCATACCCTGTTGTTGCACAACGGAGACAGATGTGGATTAAGGGCTGATTTCTGAAACAGTTGTTCTTAAGCCTGTCACAAATTAATGGACAGTGATGTAGTTATATATTCAGGGTATAGCAAAACTTTGCACCCTGGTACAGATATAGTAAGGGGTCAGAAACCTGCGGCTATGCATTTTGTACCTTTGGGATGATAGTGTCTGTCAGACAGTCCATTACTTTCATCCAGACTGAAATATCTCAACAGTTTTTCAGTTGATTCCCATGAAATGTGCAGGTATCCATGCCCCCTAAAGAATCAAGCTTACTGATTTTATTTAGCCCCTGACATTTAGTATACTACTGAGGTTAACCTTTGTCGTTTTGGGTGAAATGTCTTGACAACCACAGGACAGATTTCTTTGAAACTTGGTACAGGGACAGTACCCCTTCGCTCAGGAAGAATATTAGACACATATTTAGGTCAAAACTTTACTTTCTCTATAATTTGGTTAATAACAAAAACTATTCTGATTCTATATATCCATCAGCCTTATCTGGACTGTGCTTAGTGCTAATTATCATTCAACTGTGGAAGAAAGGTGCATAAATAATCAGGTCTTTTAACAGAGGATTCATATTTTAATCCAGGAATAAAATTGTAGTTTGGTTTATTTTCTCAGTCGTTTTCAATATAAGATCAGTTTGGAGCAGCCATACAAAATAACACATCTCCTTTCTGATGTAAATATGCAATCGCAGGAAACACTGGGAGAATGCACCAAACAAATTTCCTAAGACATTAAAATAACCCCAAACCGTGAAGAAGAATAAAACTTTACTGCAAAAAAATGCTTTGCACACTTTTAAGACAAGTAGGAAATTGACCTTTAAGTGAAGAAATACCTAAACACCCTCCAGCTGAGAGTCACAGTAGCATGACACTCCACCACCACTATGGATCACACCAAACAGCGCCAGCTGATAAGATGCTGTAGTGCAGTAATGTAGATTTCCACCTCTGGGGATGGACAGACTCTTAGACAACCACCATGTGACTATTGTCATCACAGAAACCAAGGGCCTGCTGCCAGCTGCTGAAAGGCCCAGACCTGCCAAAGATAGCAACAACCCTGAATACTCCAAGGAGAGAGAGAAGCTGAGTGAGCAGACACAAACCGCAGAGAGAGGCCTGTGGAAAACTCTATGAAGATTCTCAGTTCAGTGTCTCAAATGACTGGGTATGGGACTTGATTTTTATATAGTACTTCTATGCAAGTAGAGATAATTATGCGTTCCGTTCCCCACGGATGTGCAGTCTGTCAGAGGGAAGTGGAAAAGCAATTATCTGCCTTTGCAGTAACTTCAAAAAATATGAAATATCTATACCAGATCTAAACAACGTTTACTGCTTTATATATGTCCAATGAAGCAGCTATATGATCTGACATGTTTCAGCTCACCTGTCCTTGTCGCCTGATGGTAGTCTTTAACTGAGCTTACATCTGCTCCAAGTAAAGATGACTGGCTTTTTCTGGGTGAAAACGGCAGCAGCAGCAGTTTAATGCAAAATGCTCCTGAGAATTAGTCTGCATAGAAATCTTTTGTAGGACATCAGTGTGATGAGTCCTTTGTACATGATGCCAAGGGAACAGATACAGGGCAGGAAATAAAGTGGGTGGAAATGGCAGATTAATGCTGCTCATGCTCATTAAGTCAGTGATGGATCTAGGGGGCGGTGGGTTACATGGGTTTTTAAACATGTGTCAGCCAACATATCCTAGTGTTCTCTCCTGTGCTGTGTCGTTCTAGCTTCAGGTATCCACTGTTTAAATTCAGGAGGATGTTCGCCCTTGCTCAAACTGCCGGATGAGCAGCGCTGTGGGACGTGTTGTGTTTTTTTTTTTTCACTCACGGGTGGTTTCCATATGGTTCCTCCGTGGTGAGGCGTATTTTACTCCTCTGGGAGGCTTCAAGCTTCACTGCCAGCTCCGCTAATTAGCCTCGTTTGGCTCTGGAAAGACCATTGCGAGAGAGGATCTCCAATGGACCTATCTGCTGGTCGTCCGTGTAGATGCGTCAGAGTGTGGAGGGGCGGTGCACCGCGGGCGAGGTGATCCCCGAGTTTAAAAACGCCAGAAGTCCTCCGCGCGCCGGAGTAGTGCGTCACAGCGACCCAGCAGAGCCAGGATCCCCCGACACACAGTTATCTCAACACGGCGACGAAAATAGATTTTCTGAGACAACACGTCCGCGCCAGTCATGATCTTATTCCACTTGTTTTAATATTTTTGACGCACGCCGCTAAGATTTTTCTATCTTGGATGCGCCTTTTCTCCATATTTTAAATAGAAACAAGTCAGCCAAGGCCTTTTGACTTTGACATTACTCATTCTCGTTGTTTGTTGGCGGCGATACAGCGAGAGAGGATCCTAAGAAACAGCTGGGGAATATAATAAACTCCGCTATATGGATAAGGAATCGTTCCCATCTGCAACTGTACACAGAGTTTGATCTCAGACGTTGCTCTCTTCTCATAGAAGAAAATGAAATCTGCTGAAGAGGGTGAGTTGGACTTGAATTTACCACAGCAGACTTTCTCTTTAGTGCAGTAAATCCACCTATATTCCATTTTTTTCAACTTCTAATCAGTGTCTGCCACTTTACACCCGGATGCGAAACACTGAACTGTAACGTTATAGACTCTATTGAATCAGGGTCTTCTTTGCACTTTCCACCCTGTTGAATGCCTGTATTCAGCCTCAGTATTTTGCCGTTAGTTTAAAGCAGGGGTGGAGGTACAGCCTCTGCCCCTCCCTTCTGATCTGTGCAAGGTGGGCGTGCTCCTGCTACTCTGAGCCGCTCATCATTAAAAAGTTTGCCTAAAATAGTCAGAATTGAATCTTTGCCAGTGACTGACACGGGGTTGTGAGCTACACTGTGAGTGATTCGGTGGCCAGTATTGAGCAGAGTCACTTAATGGCACAGACCCTCTGGCTTCCTGTCAGGATGTCAGTAATTCACAGATGTCTAATTATAGAAAAACACTTTAGTGCTACTATCACCACATGCAATATTACATGCAAGCATAATTGTCTTTTATTGCAAGGAGTCATGTGGTGCAAGCACTGATGTCATAGTCTTTATGGCGGGCCCCTAATTCTCTTTAATTTCCAGCAGAAAGTAGCTGTGGTGGCTGCAGGCTGTCTGACTGCATCTGTCTGCGCTCTCCATCCGTATCAATGTGCTCTACTGTGGTCACATTCAGCCAGCCTCACGCACCATATAACCACAACTCCCGTTCCCATGTTCCCCCTCCTCTGCCCCTGATTGTGACCTCAGCCTTTGCCACAGAGTTTCGTATGACCCAGCAGGAGTTTTGGCACAAGACCACAGGCTTCCATCGCCTGGGTACAGCATGCACATTTACAGCATGCAAATAAACAAATCATGTCCCTCATATGTTTATTTTCAATTGCTGTTGGAACATGAAACTGGCCAACAAAAGCATCAGTGTGTGTTTTCATAATGTTACAGTTTATGGGCTGCATTAAGTGGCACAAATCTGGCTAGGTAATGTGGAAAAAAACACCTGGTCTTTGCTTATTTATATGCTGGAGTTATTTTTGGCTCCTTTATTTGCTTCTCCCACCTAATTTCTTTTATAAGGTTTGAGCCATTCATTGGCCTCGGTGTGTTTGGGGAACCCCATTAGATGAAGCAATAGGTTTTTACTTGCATACCTCCTGCACTGGGAAATAGCGAGGGCCAAATCCAGTAGGCAAGCTGTTCTTTTGCCATTATAGGCAACACCTCTGCAGAAGCTCAACTTGGCAACTGTCTCCCTCTTAGTAAGCCAGTAAATGTGTGTTTGAATAACAAACTCAATCTGTTTGCTTTGCAGATGCATATGGCTACATGCCAAATGTCAGTCTGTCCCTCCCACTGGGCAACCCTTGTCTTCCTTCCCAGTACCACAGCCTCCAGACCAGCCCCACCATATCTGTCTCTGTTACCGAGCCTCACAGTTATGACACCCAGGATGACATGAGAGCCGCCGGCTACTATTCAGCCTCAAGCATCCGCCCAAATGGAGCCCCGACTTTGGAGAGCCCTCGTATCGAGATCACAGCGTATGGCCAGTTTCCTGAGGATGAGGTGGAGGAGAGCAGCCTTCCCGTTGCCAAGCGAGTCAACTCCATAGTGACACTGACTCTCCCCAGTGCAGATGGCTATCGTGACCCCAGCTGCCTGAGTCCAGCCAGCAGCATCTCATCTCGCAGCTGCCAATCAGACGCCTCCTCCTACGAGTCAAGCTTCTCTTACAACTATGACAACTCACCCCAGAACTCCCCCTGGCAGTCTCCCTCTGTGTCCCCCAAGGGCTCCACCCTGGCCCTGCCAGGTGATGGCTGCGCCTCTGGTGGCTCTGCTCGCCACTCCCCCTCCACCTCCCCTCGCACTAGTGTGACAGATGACACCTGGATGGGTCAGCGTAACTCCAGGCCCAACTCCCCTTGTGGCGCAAAAAGGAAGTACAGCTTCAACGGCAGTGGAGTGCCTCACAAGCACTATCCCTACTCACCCAACCACTCCCCTGGACTGTCCCCGCAGACCTCCCCTCGTCTGAGTGTCACTGAGGAGACCTGGCTGCCAAATACCAACCAGTATACCAATTCAGCCATCTTGGCAGCCATCAATGCCTTAAGCACAGATGGGCTGGTTGACCTCGGAGAGGGAATCCCCATGAAGGCCCGGAAAACCAGCCTGGAGCACAGCCCTACAGTTAGCCTGAAGATGGAGCCTGGAGGTGAGGAGCTGAGTCCAGGGCAGCTCTGTGAGGACGAGCACCCCTCAAAACGCCTGTCACTAAAGAAGGAAGGCTACTGTGCAGGGTTTCTGGATGTGCCACAACACCCATATTCTTGGTCCAAGCCAAAGCAGTATGTAAGGTAAGATACTGGTGAAGATTTGAACAATATCTGTTCAAACCCGAAATAAAGCCAAAGGGGTGAAGTTTTCTGTGTGCTTAAGAGTTCTTAAAGTATAAAACTAAAAATGGTTCAATGCTTTTGGCAAGTTCTCCACACATGCACTTAATTTGCATTGTGTATATTTACTGAGAAGAAGTAGGTTTAAGCATATTTGCTCTTTCATAACAGCTTCATCACAAGGTCTGGCATATCACAGTGTTCGCATTCTGCACATTCTGCCTTGATAAGTGCATCTAAAATAAGCCCTCCTCCCTCCTTGTTAAGTTGAACTGTTTTCTCCCCATCAGCCCGTCCCTGCCAGCTCTCGACTGGCAGCTGCCATCCAGCTCAGGGCCGTACAGCCTGCAGATCGAAGTGCAGCCCAAGTCCCACCACCGGGCCCATTATGAGACAGAGGGCAGCAGGGGAGCAGTGAAGGCCCTGGCAGGAGGACACCCAGTTGTTCAGGTCTGCTAAACGAGTGGTTTCTAACTTTCTGGCTTGTGTCTTCTTGAGATTTTTTAGCACAGGTTTTTGTCTTAAACTGTGTCATGAATATTTTAGAGAGAAATGAATCCAGTATCCAAGAACAAAACAAAACAAAAAAAAACTCATTTTTTTTGCATTATTCATTTTGCGACCCACTCATAGACCCAGAACCCCATGTTGGGACCCACTAATCCAGACTGTTCAGTTTGCTGTGATGATTAGGCCAACACATGGTGCAACCATTAAGTACGTTTCTTCTTCTACACATTCCCCCTACTGTTTTCTCCCTCATATGTTAAAATAGCCTGTGGTGACATGTGCTTCATGACCTGACTGTTATGTTATTCAAAGATGTCACATTTCTGAATGGAATACCACGGGTATGCTATTAGACAGACCAGTCCACTCAGGCAGTTCCTGTCCAGACAAGGGTGAGTCACACTTTTCCATTGCGTACTCGAGTGCAGCACAGACGGATACAAAATGATGTAGCATAGCAAGCAAGAGCTTAGTCATGAGCTTTAACCACAGTAGCTCCGGTGGTCGAGTCTAAAGAATAAAATGTAGACAACTGCAGATATGTTTTGGTTATAAACCCATCTGGTCCCTCAGCCATTACTCTTTTCACCGCTGGCCTCAGTCTGCATAAATAAAGGGTCAGCAGCAAGAAGTTGGGCAAAGTGAGCAGAGCTGTCAGTTGAATTAATAGCTTTTGACACTTTATTAATACGTTACAATAAGTCTACAAGGCTACCAGACATTCGTCATATATGGGGCAGAGTTCACCTTTCAGCTTTGATTACATTTATGATTTAGAGTGAGTAGTTTTCCTTTTTAGCCTTTTAGTTTGAATAGGTAATGCTAGCGCTACAATTCAGTCATTTTAAGGATAAACATGGCCTATAGTAAATACAAATTCTGAGCAGGTTCTGACTAAAAAGTGAGTTCACACAGCAGAAGTGGCAAAGCCCATTGTGCCCGATCTTTCACGGACCAATATGGACGTTGATTTTTTGAGAGAAAACAACAGATTAAGGTAATGAAAAATCACCTGGTAACATTATAGAGCTAACAGCGTACCATCTGATTTTTATTTAGCATTCTAAACATATAAAACCCTAAAATTTGGTTTCTAAACATCTGTGACACTGTATGGTATTGAGAGGGATATTTTATAATTAAAAAGAATCATTGTCAGCGCCCTCTGGTGGACAAACTATGTAATAATGACGCTGTTTATACATTTTTAGCATTTCTGTATAGCATATATTCCATATGTAAATGTTATAAGCAAAAGTCAACTGATAACTTTGGTTCCAAGACTCACAAAAGGCAGTATACTGTGTGCTATTTCCTGTGGATGAGGAGGAGCCGCTCACAGCTTGAAAACATTCAAATAACTTCCAAATGGTGATCAGACATCTTGGGAAGTCAAAACATAATTATTAAGTGTTGAGACAAACTTTTTGCTCTGTCCTGTCTGTTGAAGTTGAACTGTTAAGGCAGTCCAAAGTGCATGTGTCATCTTTACTTGCTGTATAGCATTACAAATAGCAAATCATTTCTTTTCTTAGAATGACCTTTGTGTTTTGATGCTAAAATTATAAAAGCTTAAATTTAATCATGTTGTGATGTGTTTGGATGGATCAGACAGCA